CTTTGTATCGGTGACGCTTTTTACTGTCTTTATAAAATTGCCTGGGGAAACTCTTCCCCTTTCAGTAGACTCCGTACGGAGAGGTTGGTTTTCGTTCCTCCTTTCTTTGTGCGATTACCTTCTTGTTTGGTCTTGGTTATTCCCCCATTGTTGGCAATCCGTTTTTCTCTTTGAGTTTGATTTGAAACGGCTCAGGGTTTTCTTTTTTTGGCCGTGGTGTGTATTGCTCACGGCTAGGGTTTCTTCTTGGCCATACGGTTTTGCTTTCTAGGGTTTGCGATTTCTTCATCTTGGCCGTGTTGTTCATCTTGGCCGTGTAGTGTATTGCTCACGGCTAGGGTTTTGCATGCTAGGGTTTGTGTTGCTTCCTTTATCTTCTTTCTAGGGTTTCTTCTTGGCCGTACGGTTTTGCATTCTAGGGTTTGCGTTTTCTTCATCTTGGTCGTGTTGTTCATCTTGGCCGTGTAGTGTATTGCTCACAGCTAGGGTTTTGCATGCTAGGGTTTGTGTCGCTTCCTTTATCTTCTTTCCTTTCTTGGTTTTACGTTTGCTTGGTTCTCTTGGTTCTTTGATCGATCTGGTAGCCTTTGCTTCGGTGTTTGCTTCTTGGTGGTTTATTTCTTTTTTCTCGCGGCGTTCTTCTAGGTAGTGTTTTTATCTAGTTTTCTTTTTCCTGTGTCAAGTGTTTCTGTGGTCTTCGTTGCCTTTATTRAGTTCCTTAATAGAATATTCAGCACCTCCTTGTGGGGTCTTCGTTTATTTTATTAAGAAAGCTCTTTGTGGGTTTCAGCACCACGGCTTATTGACTAGGAATAGGGAGAACTAGGTTTTTTTTGTGGAGTGGTGAAGATGATAGATTTTGCGGATGTGATTTTGGAAGATCCTACTTATAAGGATTTTGCTGAGGTCATTCTTGGTGAGTCGGCTTTTGGTGGCTTGCATGGGMCCCCTTTGCATGGGGGTGTAAAGGAGGCTATATTGAAGGGGAATGAAGATAATCTTGGTCCCTCTAAAAGGGTCTTGGTGTGGGAGCGCATATCTCCTGCAGTTTTGGATGGGAGTAATATACACCCTCACAAGTCTTTTTCTGAAATAGTAGGAGGCACTCCAAAGCAATAACTGACGTACTATCCGGTTGAGAAGAGTGTGAAACTGCGGATCCAATTTACGTTGGAAACTACGAAAGATATGGCTAATCTTTCCAGTCGGTTCTTTATGGGTATTTTTTGGGACCTCGTCTTCCTTTTCCCATTGTATTGCGTGCGGTTCAAAATGCTTGGGGAAAGTTTGGGCTTATGGATGCTATGGTAAACGATCTTGGATATTTCTTTTTTCGATTTAATGATAATGGGGGTTGCAATCAAGTGGTTGAGTCGTCTCCCCTTATGATTCGTGGGAGGCCACTTTTTGTCTCAACATGGGATCCTTCAAAGGGGCTTCATAAACCTGAACATACCTCATGTCCGTTATGGATTAAATTCTATAACATTCCCCTTATTAGCCGTATTGCAAGTGCTGTTGGAATTCCTTTGCGCTTGGATGGTTGTACAGCTAGTACTTGTGATAAAGCTTGGGGACGTACTAACTTTGCTAAAGTTTTGGTGGATGTTTGGGCCGTGGGTGAAATTCAGAAGCAGATTGAAGTTGTCATTCCGAGGCTTTCGGGTGAAGGTGAAGACGTGATAAAGGTGGTTCTGGAATATGATTGGGTGCCTTCCCAATGTTCAAAGTGCAAAGTTTTTGGTCATCGTGTGAATTCTTGTCTGAAAGGGGGTATTCAAAAACAAAAAGAGATTGTAATGCCATTGAGTAATGATGGGTTTATAGAGAAAAAGAGAAAACAATGGAAGCCGAAGCAAACTTCAGGTTCTCGTAATGGTGCTCAGGCTACTTCTTCAGGTGAGCCTTCTATTCTTCATGATACGATAGTTGGTGTTGGTATTATAAAGTCGGTTTCTGATGTATCGTCTGTTTTGGGAGCGAATAAAAAGGATAAGGATGTTGTTCAGCCGGTTGATTCTGCTTTCTTAGCTGGGGAACGTAGGGACCATGAGGAAAGTCAATATTGTACGGTGGATGCGGGGCGAACACCAAAAGGAAGAGATGATATTTTGAATGTGACTTAAAGATCAAAAGGGGGTCCAGAACTTGTCAAAGCAGTGATTCATGCGATGAAACCAAGACGTGGTACAGTTTCTTCCACGACCATTAGCAATAGATTTTCCACATTACCTTCTGATGATTCTAGTGATGATGATAATATGGAGATAATTGATACTGAGGGGCCTTCTATGGAACACCGTAATGGGGCAATACCCACTTCTACATCATCTTTGTTTGGAAGAGGTAGAGCTTTTTGATATCTCGTATCAGGGGTGCCAATATACTTGGACGCAGAAACCTTCTGAGGGTCATGGTACTATGCGTAAACTTGATCGTATTTTGGGTAATTCAGCTTTCATTACTAGATTTGGGGATGCTTCGGTTTTCTTTGAACCACGGGGGATCTCCGATCATTCTCCGGGAATTCTTTCTTTCAAAGTTGGTAGGCGTCAACGTGGTTTCAAATTTGATAATATTGTGACGACTCATGTGGATTTCATTAACTCCGTGGCGGGGGTGTGGATGAAACCTCAGCGAGGTTCTTATATGAAAAGAGTGCTTCGAAAACTGCAAGAGTTGAAAGGGGTTTGTCGTCGGCTTCGTAATTCTTTTGGTTGTTTGGATAAGAGGGTGGCTAGTTTAAAGACGGAACTTGAAGTTGCTCAATTGGCTTGTGATCTAGACCCCTTTAATGATTTGCTGAAAGAGGACATGGCTCACCTCTTATTAGCTTATCAACAAGCTAGACATGATCAAATGGAAATGGTTCGACAAAAAGTAAAGATTTCTTGGCTTAATGAAGGTGATGGAAATTCTAAGTTCTTCTTTCATGCTATGCAAGAAAAACTTCATAGGAGTCATATTGCTACTATTACAGATGCTGCTGGTACGGTTTTTATTCATCAAGAGGTGCCTAAAAGCTTTTGTTAACCATTTTGAAGGTATTTTGGGTACTTCTAATAGTTTGGTTCATCCTTCTACGGAAGATTGCTCCTTTGTTCGCTCTTTATCGTTATTGGAATCTCTACATTTAATCAGACCTATTACGGATATGGAGATCCAGACAGCGCTGTTTGACAATGGGAATGATAAGGCACCTGGTCCTGATGGTTTCTCGTCAAAGTTTTTTAAAGCGGCTTGGAATGTGGTTGGTAAGGATGTTCTCATTGCGGTACACAATTTCTTCTACTCTGGAACTTTAGAATACCAGGTTAATCATACTCTACTTTGCTTAATTTCAAAGGTTCCTAATGCTTCTTGTGTTACTGATTATCGACCTATTGCCTGCTGTAATGTTTTGCTGAAATGTATCAGTAAAATTATTGCGGATAGGATGAAAGGCTCTTTGGATTTTCTTATAAGCAAAGCTCAATCTGCATTCATTCCTGGACGTCAGATAACAGATAATATTCTAATGGCGCATGAGCTTGTAGCTAGTTATCAAAAACATCAGGGAGAACCAAAGTGTGCTTTTAAGATTGATATTCGCAAAGCATATGATACCGTTGACTGGCAGTATCTTCTGGGGATGCTTAAGGGAATGGGAATTCATCCAGTTATGCTTAACTGGATAAAATCTCTAATCACATCGCCTACTTTCTCTATATGTGTTAATGGACAACCGGAAGGTTTTTTTCATGGAAAGCRGGGTCTAAGACAAGGGGATCCTTTGTCTCCTTACTTGTTCACGGTGGTTATGGAAGGTTTATCGATGATTCTAACAAAATGTATTGAGGAGGAGGTTCATTTTGCATATCATCAAGGATGTGCTGAGATAAAATTGACCCATTTATGTTTTGCGGATGATCTGTTTATCTTTTCTAGGGGAGATGCTCTTTCAGTTGAAGTGCTAAAACGAGCTCTCCATTTGTTTGAAGAACGTTCGGGTCTGTCTCCAAGTCTTGATAAAAGTGAAGTATTCTTTGGGAATGTGGGGTTGGATGTCCAGAATATTATTCGTAACTGTCTTCCTTTTCGTCCGGGGGTCTTTCCTATTCGCTACCTGGGGGTGCCTCTCTCTCCAGTTCGTTTAAAGGTGCGTGATTTTAACCCTCTTGTGCTTAAACTTATATCTCGTTTGATGAATTGGAAAAATAAATTTATTTCTTACGGGGGAAGAAGACAGCAAATCATCTCTGTGCTCCATTCTATTCAAACTTATTGGATGTCGGTATTTCTTGTACCGGCGACCACTATTCATGAGATTGAACAGCTATTCCGTAATTTCTTATGGAATAAAATGGAGGGTGATATGGGCAAATGTCGAGCTTCTTGGGATAGGATCTGCTTACCTATTCAACATGGTGGTCTTGGTTTGAAAAGACTAGCGATATGGAATCGGTGCTTATTGTTTAAACATATTTGGGATATTCTTTCTCAACGAAATACTATGTGGGTATCTTGGATCCAGTCTCATTGTATTCGAGGCAGAAATTTTTGGATTATCAAGAAAAGGAATGAATGGTCATGGCTTCTCCGGAACCTTTTGGAGTTAAGACCTCAATGCAGAAGGCTTTTTATCTATAATGTGGGTAATGGTATATCTACTCATGCTTGGGAAGATACGTGGAGTGAGTCGGGTCCCCTTATTCAGTTGCTCTCTTACAGATTCATTAATGGTCATGGTTTTCATAATAACTCAACTGTGTATGATCTAATGCAACGGTTTGGTAATAATTGGCCAGTGGAATGGCTACAACAGTATCCCCAATTGCAAAGTGTTACGATACCACTTCCTACTCAAATTGAGAGTCCAATGGCTTGATGCTAACCATAATCGGAAACCTTTTGAAGTAAAAGTGGCAAGGCATACATTACAAGAAGCAGGGCCGAAGGTACATTGGTACAAGGTGGTTTGGAATAAAGCACACATACCTAAACATGCTCTGTGCATGTGGATGGCTTGTCAAAACCGATTACCAACTCAAGATCGCATTAGTCAGTGGAAGTATGAACCTCCGGATTTGAATTCTTTTGGTTGTTTGGATAAACGGGTGGCTAGTTTAAAAACGGAGCTTGAAGTTGCTCAATTGGCTTGCGATCTAGACCCTTTTAATGATTTGCTGAAGGAGGACATTGCTCACCTCCTGTTAGCATATCAACAAGCTAGAAATGATCAAATGGAAATGATTCGACAAAAAGCAAAGATTTCTTGGCTAAATGAAGGTGATGGTAATTCAAAGTTCTTCTTTCATGCTATGAGAGAAAAACGTCATAGGAGTCATATTGCTACTATTGTTGATGCTGCTGGTACGGTTTTCGTTAATCAAGATGTGCCTAAAGCCTTTCTTACGCATTTTGAAGATATTTTGGGTATGTCTAATAGTTTGGTTAATCCGTCTATGGAAGATTGTTCATTTGTTCGCTCATTATCGGTATCAGAATCTTTGCACTTAATCAGACCTATTACGGACATGGAGATTCAGACTGTGCTGTTTGATATTGGGAATGACAAGGCTCCTGGTCCTGATGGGTTTTCGTCAAAGTTTTTTAAAGCAGCTTGGAATGTGGTTGGGAGGGATGAGAATATTGCGGTACATAATTTTTTCTACTCTGGAACTTTAGAATACCAGTTGAATCATACTCTTCTTTGCTTAATTCCAAAGGTTCCCAATGCTTCTTGTGTTACTGATTTTAGACCTATAGCATGCTGTAATGTTTTGCTGAAATGTATCAGTAAAATTATTGCTGATAGGATGAAAGGTTCTTTGGATTTTCTTATTAGCAAGGCGCAATCTGCTTTCATTCCTGGTCGTCAGATAACTGACAATATTCTAATGGCTCATGAGCTTGTAGCTGGCTATCAAAAATATCAGGGGGAACCAAAATGTGCTTTTAAGATTGATATTCGTAAAGCATATGATACCGTTGACTGG